TCCTGCGCCCTGTGTTTATTTTAGATCCAGTTTCTTTCCATATTTATTAAATCCAACAGTCATACAAAAAAAATAACACAACGTTTTAAGTTTTTAAGGTTATGTAATGATGGCAGTAAACACATTGACATTGGCATCTTTCCATGGCATTGGTTCCAAGGGTTACAAAACATGAAGCATTCCTTTTAGTTTTTTTAAAGAAGTAGCCAAAACTATCCTATGTTGATCCCTGTCTTTACATTTGTTTGTGTGTAAAAAAAACTGACATACTTCTCAACATTGTTTCAGTGTTCGCTAGCCTGCCATAAGAAATGCCTGGAAACCCTGGCCATCCAGTGTGGCCATAAGAAGCTCCAGGGGAAGCTCCACCTCTTTGGCATCGACTTCACGCAGGCAGCCATGAACAGTCAAGATGGAGTCCCCTTTATCTTACGGAAGTGTACGTCCGAAATCGAGAACAGAGCACTCAACATTAAGGTACTTTCAGTCAAATATGAGAGAGAACAGTTCATGCTACTATTGCTCACATTTAAATCCTGTTTTAGGCTCTAATGCGTTTATATTTCCACTCAAAATATTCAGATTTAAGAAAAAATCCGCCGTAAATATAATTTAACCTCATTGCAAGTCATTTTGTAAATTCTATGACCCCCATTACATTTGTTGTCCTAAAGTTTGCATGTATTTACTGCATGATGTTTAGATTACTGTTGTAACCTGTTGATATTCTGCGGCAGTGATTACCCTGTTTTTCATCATGTTGATCATGCATCTAATTTTCCTGTGTTAAATGTGTTTTGGTTTTGTGCTCTGAAGGGTATCTACAGAGTGAATGGTGCCAAATCCCGGGTAGAGAAGCTTTGCCAGGCATTTGAGAATGGCAAGGACCTGGTGGAGCTCTCGGAGCTTTATCCCCACGACATTAGCAACGTACTCAAACTCTACCTGAGACAGGTTGGCTGTTTTTAAAACACTTTTTCCTGGGTATGGGTATTGTTCATTATATTGCTAAAAGTGTGCTCTGCATAACAAAGCCACTGCTGTGCTATTTATTTATCTAAGTTTATTTGTGGTACAACTCCCACCTCTCTTCCCTGTGGTGCTTATCTCATTTCTAATTCTGTCCCACTTTTCTATCTACCTCCATTTTTCAGTTGCCTATGTTTATTATGAACTTCCTGCTTTCATTTGTTTTTATGGTTATTTTTCCCCTTCCCTATGCAGCTCCCAGAGCCTCTCATCCTGTTCCGCTATTATAATGACTTTATCAGTTTGGCCAAGGAGAGCCAGGGTATTATTGTGGAGGAACTGGAGGCTTTTCGGCTCAGTCCAACCCCGGTGACCCAGCCCCAGGTCAGCGTGGACCTGAACCGGATCCTCTTCAAGATCAAAGACCTGCTGAGGCATCTGCCACCAGCTCATTACAAGACACTGCAGTTCCTCATAGAACATCTGCACCGGTATGGCGTTCAAATAACCAATAATATACATTTCTGCATTTATTAAATTGGTGATTTTACAAGTAGAGATGTGACTCTAAGCAATACTCTTTCCTCTCTCCAGGGTCACAGAGCAATCGGATGAGAATAAGATGACGGCAAGTAACCTGGGGATCATCTTTGGCCCAACACTCATCAAACCAAGGCAGGCCGCCGATGCCGAAGTTTCCCTTTCCTCTCTGGTGGATTATCCGTATCAGGCGCTCATTGTGGAGCTCCTGATCAGACACTACCAGATGATCTTTGACACCCCCCTCAGTCCACTGAGTCGGACCTCGCCTATAGAGATTGATGGCCCAAACCGCCTCACGCACCAGGAGAAGGAGCAGCAGCTGAGCAGGCACTCAAGGTCGCTGGGAGACATTAAGGAGGTAATTAGGAAACAGTCGTACAGCATGTATTAAGATTTAACATCAATACCACACACAGCTAACTCTTTTGGTTTCGAAACTCATTCTTCTCTATTTTGCTATTATAGCAGAGCTTGAAGGTGTATAAGAGGCATTCTTCCATCATTCCTTCTTCCCACCTACTGGCTGAGGTTGAGGAGAACACGCCAAGCTTCAATGGAAGCGACTTTGAACCTGGTAAGTGTTGTTACAAACCAATAGAAAGCATTACAATTCTGCCAAAATTACTGCACAGTTCAAATCTTTCTCTGGCTGCCTTTTCTTCAGTCCACTACACATTAGTTGATCAATGTTTAACTTCTTGTCATTCTCTCTGTTTAAAGTTGATGAAGTGGATTTTGAGGGCTTCAGTGAGGGTTTGTCTCCGAGCTCCCCAGAGACCCCGAAACTCGGCGAGAGAGGCCTCTGTCGTTCTCAGCACGTCGCCCAGGCCAGGGTCCAGCTCCGACAGCCTCGCAACAAACTCTCCTCACGGCCAGTGAGCCTGCCAGCTGAACGGATACTCAACCGAGGCCAAGTAGATGAGAAAAACACCCGGAACAGCACTGACCACGAGGACAGGAAAGGAGGACGTTTTGACCAGTCCATCGAAGAGGTTGACGAAACTGAGAACACAAAATTGCGGGTTGGCACACACTACCGGGGTACATTTATTGACACCCAGACGTTACGCAGGACATGGGACAAGCAGTACAAACATGATCTCGCCTCCAAAACTGTCAGAATTGTGGCCAGTTTGCCCACAGAGGGTACAGCACTGGATGCCAGCAACGTATCAGCTTCTGTGCCCAACTCATCTTTATCCCTTGGGAGCACTGTTTTCACTGATAGACCTTTCACTGTTGCAGTGCGACCCAATAGGATTTTAAGAAGGGAGGACAATGTAATAAAGTTTAACCCTGTCGCAACAACTTTCAGGGCTCCAAGAACTCTGCAGCCTCCCCCAGGGACTTTCTACAAGCCCCCATCAGGGAGCAAATCTAAAGAGGTAAAGAACTGTACACTACCTAACAGCGCAGAGGAAGAAGATGAGGATGAGGAGGATCAGGAGGAGGAGGAGGATGATGATGATGAGGAGGAGGAGGAGTTGGGGATTGAGATAGAGGTTTCTGTGGATGAGCCTCTTGAGGAAGACGATGAGGCAGAGCAGGCAGCCATGTCTTCCAGCTCTAGCCCTGAGGAACTGGACTCAAACCAGGCCAAACCAGTATACCAGAGACTAAGGCCAAGACGCCTCCAAGAGGTAGAACATCGAGAGGCTCATTTCGTGTGATCATCTTAGAGTCAGGGGCTAGCAGAGATCAAAACAAGAGTGCTCAAATGACAATTTCCACATGATTGTGAGCACGGTTTGAACAATTCAAAGTTCTGTTGGTTCTTAAAAGACAAACGAGATGCACTTAAAATGCTGTATATTTGATTCACCAATATTTCATTCACCAATCACTTGCTCAGTACACTCTGGCACCTGGTCAGAATATTTATAATTATTTTTTTAAACTGTGCAATTCCATGTTTATTTGAATATTTTGTACCACATTCTTACAGGATCACTATGTATGTTATATACCAAAAAAATATGTTTGAATCGTTACAATAGTGCATTTAGCCAGAACACTGAAAAAAAAGTTTGATGCACTTATCAATACTTGTTGTGTTTCGACCTACTGTGAGTCAGAATGTTTTAAACTGTTACATTTAGGTTAAAATTAATCATTTTGCTAAAAATGTATGTATATAATGAGCTTTTGTTACATGCTGTACTGGGTATCTGCATTGTCATTTGCTAATGTTATGAAGCACCAGTTGCAAGGGCATACATCCACTTGTTTTTATACCGTTGAACTTGTAAGGTGTCAACTTACACTGACCTGAAAAGCTTTTGGAAATGCCAATGGATTGTATGGTGGCATTGTCTTTCTTATTTTTGATATAACATGACTTTTCCTAATAGCCAAAGCTGTTACTCTTTTTACAACTGCATTAGTTTTATCAATAACCCAGATCTTACAAGTTTTTTGTAAGTAATAGGAAGTGCATCATTTATTTAAATGGTATCTGTTTTGCATGGTAATGTACAAGGTTGACAAAATGTTCAAAAGTTCAGTGTAAAAGAACAGGTACATGAAAACAAACCCTTTTGTAACTTATTAAAATATATTTGACAACTTCCAATTGACATGGTGGTCTGTTAATGTTTTTCTTAACAACTTGCTGCATCTTTATTTATTTAAAGAAGTATTCCTACCTGTTCCGTTATGAAACGTTTTTTGTAATATTATACAGTAAAAATCTTTATTACTAAAAGTAGCATGACGCGTGACAGCATGGTTTAGAGCTGCTTATATCTTTTAAAAGTGCATTTATACATTTGTTTTAAACAGAAGTAGGATTATAACATAAATAGGATTACACTGTATAATATGGGCAGGTGGTTAGGTCATATGCCTCTACAAATCGGTGAGAGCGCTAGCAGTCTCCCAGCCTTCAGAAAGGAGATTAAATCAATCTGCTTAAGTATTCACAAGGTCTGGATTCTAGCTGTGCTAGCAAACCTAAGGAGTGCTCGCCGCTCGGTAGAAAATGTGCTGTTATGTTTCATGTACTGGGTCTCACTCTACAGTACGAGTGTTCTCCTGAGGTAAGTGATTTGTCCTTCTGGACTGTAACCATGCTTTGGAATTTAGCTGATATATCTGTAATTTGTGATCTGGTAGCAATACAATTGCACAATAGCAATGACTCACATAAGTTAAAGTTACTTTTATTGCATGCACTTTGAATATGCAATTCACTGTTTTGAGGTATTGACAGTGCTGAAGGAATTACGAGCTGTAGAACGTAATGCTAACCATGTGAAGCGTATTGAGCTCATTAACCTCTGTTTCCAGCCATGTATGGGTTACTCAGGATAGACACCTCTGTGATGGAAACAAAAAATATGTAGCTTTTCTAAATTCTAATTAATTTGTTGAATCAGAAATGTTTTTAAGTAAACATGAAATGGCTTAGCTAAAAATAGCACTGTGGACTGGTTGATTGCAGGTTTGTGGGCTGGTGCCAGGCCCTGCAGGGCTGAAAAGGAGAAACCATGGGGGCAGGAAGACAGGTCAGACTCCTGCTGTGGAAAAACTGGACTATCCGCAGGAGGCAGAGGGTAAAATCCCCCCATCCATCATTTACACACTGCATTTATCCCTGTGAGAGTTGTAGTTAGCTAAAATTCCTTCAGGTCTGTAGATTTTAGCAAATATTTGACTGAACGTTTTTTTTAATCATTATTTATTCTTCTAGCTATACTGCAATATGTTTGTTACAGAAAAATGGGCCAAGTTGTCGCCCAGACACGCATACTATGAAACTGCACTAGTTTAGAATTGTTGCAGATTTACAAAGTTTATATTATAATTCATACCAGATGCGTTTCTTCATGGAGATCATGTGGCCTGTTATGCTGTGCATGGGACTGGTGTGGCTTAGACGAGTGAATCCGCTTTATCGTCAACATGAATGTAAGCAAACTGTCACTGTTTACTGAAAAATATCAAACATTTAAATCCAAATTTCACAGAGACAAATATATAATGTCGTGTGACATCCTTTTAAGATACCTCATTGGTGACTTGTGTAAAGAACTGAAGCCAACAGTATCTCCTCTTCCTCAGGCCACTTCCCCAACAAGGCCATGCCGTCTTCAGGGGTCCTGCCATGGATTCAAGGAATCTTCTGTAATGCCAACAACCCTTGTTTTCAAGACCCTACCCGTGGTGAATCTCCTGGAGTGGTCTCCAACTACAACAACTCCATGTTGGTATCACCCTGGGATTTAGGGGGAGGTCATTAAGAGGAATCAAATTCTATCCACGTTTGATCTGAGATAAAAGAACACAATGTATTGGACTAAAAAAAAAATCTAAATATCTCCTGGTTAAGACAAACATACACATTCATTGTGTGTATGTTTGAAGTTGTATTGTATGTAAAAATAATAACTGTGTGATTTAACATTGACTTCCTTAGATTTGCTCGGTTCTACACGGATGCCCAGGAGCTTCTTTTTAGCGACCCAGAGTTCCTGCAGCTAGGTCGCCTCTGGGGGGAACTGAATGCTATGAGTAACTTCATGGACACCCTGCGCACACATCCAGAACACATTTCAGGTCAGTGCTTCATCCGGAGATCAAAATACTCTGAAATTGTCTGTCGGAGCAGTTCAAACGTCAGTTCGGGCATTCTGGTTGCTTTTTTCACGGGAGCAATTATAGCTGGCAGAAAAATAAATAAAAATAATAAGAGTTTTCACTTAGAAGTGATATAAATGTTGACATACAGCCTGACTACATTTAGCATTGCAATCTATTCTTAGTGTCCTTCTTAGCTCAATGTCCTCTGACTCAAAAATACCTTGGTCTAAATCATATCTCACACATTCATTTCCCATCCCTCTGTGTACCTGTGCAGGCTAAAAGGCTTACTTCACGAGGGTTTATGGAAGGCTCTTCACATAAGCTGCTTACTTTCACCAGTGTGTTGTTTATTTGGTGGGAAAGCAATTCACATAACTTTCATCCATGTTCCTCTCCATGAGAGAACATAAACACTGATCCCATCTAAAGGGACAAAATGCAAACAATTCTCTCTTCATGTCAACATATGCATGTACAGCTATACTGTCTACGTACAAACAGTAGGTTTCCCAGCTAAATCTACAGAAAACCTTTCTGAGGGGAGCTGACTGAAGCTAAGTGCATTCCAGCCTGTGAATGATTACATCCTGGTTCTTTTTGTGCCGCCACTCTCAGGGAGAAACATGTATATGGACTAACAGAGCTAACACAGATATGGATCCACATTCCACACAATTTCCCATGAGGCCTAGAAAAGAAAATGTAATCATTTTGAGAACCAAGTTATGTAATTTTAAAAAAAAAGACTCATATAGCATAACACGTTTGGGTGGACACGTATGTTTCATGTGCAAGACCCTTGCAAAGGTGTTTGATACTAATAATTAGACACATAAGAAATAGTTGGACTTTGTCAATACATTTATTTGCTTTATGGAGGAGAATGAGATGACGAGATCTATGTCCACTCCTATTACTCCAGTTTACATAAAGCTTTAACCAGCAGCTGGTTAGCTTAACTTAGCACAAAGACCAAAGCAATGGGATTTAGCTAGCCTACCGCCACTTTTGAAATTCAGCAATTAACGTTTTATCTCATTTGTAAAATCTATAGAATGAAAGTGTACATTTAGATTTTTCAAATGAATATCTTGGTCCAGTTCTTCTCCCCTTCTTGCTTTCAGCTTTCTTTGTGGTTTCCAGTGGTGCATGAGGACACAAGGCGAGTCACTTTAGGCGGAATCTGGATGCAGGCCACAGTGACAATTCATTTGGCAGAGCACACTTTATTCATGCACAGACAAGCCACTAAAAATAATGAGACAGTGCAGAGTTGAAGTGTCTACATCCTGTGTTCCTATTGTTTTAATGAAACCATTGTCACAACTTGCCAAATAAGTTTTATTTTACTTATCTGGTATCCACTGGGTTAATGGATTGTCACAGATGACAATAGCTTGGGTTTATTATATTTTTACTGATCTCTCTTTGTAGGCCGAGGAATAAAGGTGGAGGCTATCCTAAAGGACGATGAGCTGCTGACATCATTCCTGCTGAGAGACATTCCTCTGACACAGGCTGTGGTGTATCAACTAGTAAATGCCCAAATCAGGCCTGAACAGGTACACAGGCACACATGCACATACATGATAGGGTTGAACAGTTAAGGATATAATGTTTAGCATTTCAACCTTAATTCATCATTACTTTTGAAATATTCCTGTGATGCCAGAAACACAACCATTGACGTAAAGACTCTTATCATATGAAAGCCTTGCGCAACATATGATTTAAGATGATGTTAACAAGTCTTTTGTTGAGAACATATTCTACAAGTAAAGACTTGCTTCAGTGTTTCTGGGAACATTCACAATGTGATTCATTGGTATCAGTAGTTTTGGCTGAACAACAGCTGGAAGAAAGCTCCCTTTGGCAACCTACAAACAGGAAAACACACAAATATATCCATATATGCCACTTTGTCCAGACACATGAGGCCAGCTGGATTCCTCCTACTTTGGTTTCGTTCACTGATTCATTGCTTGCTTGACGGCAATGTACAATACAAATGAATCACTAACTTTAAAAAAGCGTTTGAACATCGTATAATGTTTACTTCTGTAGTGATGCAGGCTTTACAATTACGGCGACTTAGTTGTTACATTTCATCCATTAATCAATCCCCTATTTTAATTATTGGGGGCTCCTTTACCGAAGTGCATTTCACAAGAGGGAAGAAGCTGAACAGCTGAACATATATTCACATCCATAGATACGCAAATGGGCTGTTTGGAGTTTACACTTGAGATATCTTGTTAATTTGAAAGTAAGTCAATATATAGTACATAGATAATGTGTATTATATATAAATCAACACATATACTACATTTTTAGCTTAGTATTCCCCGTCTCAGAGGGTGCGTTACATTATAATTCAATGTTTAAAGCTTTGATTTGAAAGCTATTTTGATTAAGGTAAGGAAGACAACATATTGACCTGTGAAGTTCAATAATAGACATTAATAATATCAGAATGTGAATGTTTGAAACCAACCTAACCTATCTTTGGATTTCTTCAGTTTGCCTCTGGGGTTCCAGACTTGCATTTAAAGGATATTGCATGCAGTCTGAACCTGCTGGAGAGATTCCTCATCTTCCCCAGCAAAAGAGGACTCCACTCTGTTCGCAACGCCATGTGCATCCTTACTCCTCAACGGCTACAGATCATTGAGGACAAATTATACGCAAATGTCGACTTTTTCAAGCTCTTTCGGACGGTCAGTGCTTTTGTAATGTTACAGTAGCAGCACATATCAAGGAACTGTTGAAAACTATTATTGATAAATAATGAATTTAATTGTACCCTCAGTAGGTTGTGGATATGTGCCATGGCTCTTTAAGAGCTACAACTTTTAATCGTTTAACACGTTTTACTTACTTTAAAAAGAAAGCTGTTTAATCAAAAACACCAATCTTCAATAATTAATCCCAGTACTTTCTATACATTAACACACTGTTTACCACCAGTGACCAGCAATCCATTGTGGTCAGACTGTATAAAGCTCCTATAAAAATCCTTTTAACGCAGGATAAGCATACATTTAACAGGATTTGGCTCCATTTTAGGCATAGTAAAAGGCCTGTATAGAGCTGTGGTTGGATGACTCCCATCTGGGATGATGCCATGTTTATTAGCTTATATGCAAACATTTTCAATGGCTATTCACAGAAGACTGAGCCAACTGCTAGCTGAAAGACGTGATGCTAATCTGTCATAGGCCAATAAAGTTTTTGGCAAAATGAGACATTTGAAAAATATCAATCAAGCAGTGTGATGTAAATGCTTAATTTTAACCACAGTATGTGTCTGATTAATGAATTAGTCTTGTTGACAAGTTAATTAATCAAGAGCTTTTGTTTTTCGCTTTTTTGAAATAAAAAAAGAAACATACTGTATATAATAGAAAACCTTTTTAGGTTCTTAAATGATATCATACTTTTTTATGATCTGCAGTTTATAGCCATTTTTATTTTACTCAACTATTTCAGAGTCATCAAAACGTAATGATATACCTAATTGCATCGTCACACAGCTTCAGCTCTGTTTCAGTAAGATGTACTGTGTATTTTGCAAATTGTATTATCTCATGGTTGAGGCAGAGCAAAACTTAACAAGCCAACACAGGCATAGCATTCAGCATTTCAGGTCAGGAGCAGCAATGGATAAAATGTTGGTAGTATTTTTATAGGGCTGACTCACAGGGTGGAACAAGTGTTCCTTAAAGAAATGCAGGTTGGCTTTGTGTTGGGTAAATAAAGTCTACTACAGTACACAATTACCCAGGAACGTTAAAGAACTGCCACAATATACAATGTACAACAGGTATGCATATAAGATACATTTCAAGTAACATTTTATTAATATTTTTGAAAGGCTGGAATACTTACAAAATTAATATCATGTATAGAAATAATTATAAATATATAATTATAAAAACAATATATAATATAATGGATCATATTATTGCATTTAGATAAAGAACGCAGGTCAAACTCAAGTTCTTAACACAGGATTTACTGTAGTATAATTAAGCAATAGCTCACGACAGGCCGTGGATATGCTCATTATATCACAGCTAAGGTGCGTGGTTCGGCCCGACGCGAAGCTGCAGGCAGTTTGCTTTTCAGCCCAACGGTATACTGTTTTTCTCAGACGCGGAGGGATACTGACTTGTTGTGAAAAGTAATTTACAATTCTACCCGTGGTATACGCTCAGTATATCACGGCTATCAGATTGCTTGATTTGACTTGTCCGTTTTATAAGTAGTTTTAATCTAATTTTATAAATATAGCAAACAATAGAGACAAAATGTCACTCAAACAAAGATAACAAAATTACCTCTAAGAATTATTGAAATAATAGGCTGAAGAAACTACCTCGGTATTACTCATAAGCAGGGCCCTTTTTGCCAGACTTAATTTAGAGCGTGTTGCAGCACTCTGAACATGTTTTAAATTGGTACGGCTGATGTGAAACAGCCATGAGCATTAGCTAAGCATGCAGACGTGGCCTTGGTCTGTAATTAGCTTAGTGAACAGACACTCCTCTCTTTAGTAACCACAGTGCACTTAGAGTCAACACAGGCTACAATAAGAAAGACAGCAACAATGGCTGACCCCTGCCTCATCCCAAACAATCCCATAAGACCGGGCCAAGTGTGTTTAGCTGTCTGTCTGAGTCTGCCTTGTGCTATAGCAGCGATAAACTAAAATGCTTTTTGAGGCTATTTGTGACCCAGATTAATTATTTACTTTCTTTGGGTTGAAATAAATTCCGTGTGAAAATCCAATCTCACTCTGTGTGGAAAATAGTTATTTACAATACCCCCTTCCCTGGGGGATATACATAATGACAATGCTACCACAGATTATAAATTACTGGAATTACATTTTTAAAATCCAATAATTAATTAATACATTTTTAAGAATGGACAAAATGCCCTTTTGCCCATCTGAATTAAGTAAACGGGTGTTCTGAAGAGATATCCTTCAAAAATGTTGTATTATGTGCCAATGATATATTTATTGTTTGTGTTGTTGCAGGATTGTAAACAGTTGAAAAGCTAACTGAGGAAGTGGTGATTGTCTGTCTGTGCGGACATATCTCTGACACGATGAATCTAAATATGTGACAGGGAAGGATGTCTGCTCTGGCAATTTTGTGTCTTAGCCTTGTGTTGCTGCCTGGAATCTGTAGTCTATTGTGTTGTAAGCTGCCTGGAGGATCTTTAGGCTCAGCAGCAGATCCTCAAGAGAAGGCAATGCTCACAATATATTATATAGGCCTATTAATAGCAAAGCCAAGTATTCATCTCTGGTCCACTAAGACATGTGTATGTCACTGCATAAGCTTAGCTTTCTTTATAGCACAAAAACACATTTCCTCATGGCACAAAATGAAGTTTTATTGTGTCTGCCACAGACACTTTGAGTATATCATGTATCCAAATACTTTTAACTTGATATTATGCTAACTCGTCAGACTGGCTGTTATCAAGGACAGGTATCATCTTATTCCTCTTCCTGATCAAAACAAACAAAGAAGATCCAGGGATTAGTAACTTCCTCTGGGCCAGGAAGAAATTGGGTTTATGTGTTTAATTAAAGAATACATTTATTTTCCCCTCCAGCTTCCTATGGTGCTGGACTATCACTCAAAGGGCATTGAAATTCAGCTCTGGGTACAGGTCGTCTCCGCTGTCTCGGAAAAACTGCGAGAGGTAAGTCTAGCTCCATCCAAAAGTTCACCGCTTTCTTTTTTTAGCTGCCAGGAAACAGTTGCTTCCTCTTGCCTGAGTTTTTACACAAACACAGACAGTAGGGGGATATCATTTAGTGCGTATGAGGAAGGCTAAATCCAGCCTCAAAAACAGATATATCATCATTATGGGATCATCCCAATGGAAACACTGAGGCTGCAAGAAAACCTGAAGCCCCTTAGAAATGGAAAATGTTAAACACCAGGGATGATTGAATGATCTGTTTTTGTTTGATTATGTCTTTCTCTCCCTAAAGTAGAGTCTGTGCATGCACAATCAACTTATTTTGCTTGGATTACTTTAAGCAGGGTTTTTACCTCTGTGAAGTGTCTCATTGCGTGGTTGTATTTTGGTCACTATTAGATGTTGTATGGACGTGGTTCAGTGTCCATAGCAATGTTGACTTTGATGATATGATAAATACTGAATTTGTGCAACTGTTTCAATTTGTGGTGTACCTGTCATGGGTGTGTGGAAATGTTTTGTTGTTTGTTGTGGAAGTTTCCATGGGATATTCAGAGTAGCTGACAATTTGTCATCCTGTTGGCAAGACACTTGTCTTTGTCTCAAACCACAGAGACTAGAGTCCAGACAGACGACGTGAAAGCACAACCTTGAATTTTTTTTTCAAACAAGCAAGGCTAAAAAAAATGAATCAATGCACAGGATTTTGTCCATGCAGTTGCTCATTGTCTGCACGGATTGACCAATGGTATTGTTGCTCAACATATCTTTAATATTTAAGAGCTATTATGATTTGTATTAAGTAACATGTAAAAACTGTTCTAATTTAAGCTCTTTCTTTCTTATATTTCAACAGTTGTCCCAGAGGAGTAGCTCCAGGGAGCTTCTTCAGGTCATGACTCCTCTCTTCCAGAACAATCTGTCTTTCAGGCAGGCGATGGCTGCTGCCTCCAGCCTGGTATGTGGCTACAGTGAAGGTGCTTTCTCCCGCGTTACCTCCTTTAATTGGTATGAGGACAATAACTACAAAGCCTTCCTAGGCATTGGCAGCGGCAAATCACGGAGCCACTACACATACGACAACAGCACCAGTGAGTAGACCATATATCATTATGGCAGATATTAGAGTAGGCATTGGTACAGTCACAAGCTATTGGTTTTTACTAAAGAACATGGACCTTGTTCTTGGAGTAACCCTACTCTAATTTGTGTCGAATATCATCAGATCTCTTTTTTTTTGTCAGAGTAACTAGGTTCTTTCTATATCAATTTTTTTTGATATCCATAAAAAAACGTTAATTTCATTATCTACGTTTCATAGAATTTTACAATTATACAACACATTCCCTGCAGCTCCTTTCTGCAATGAACTGATGGAAGAACTGGAGTCCAACCCTGTCACCAGGATTGTGTGGAACTCTGTGAAGCCCATGCTGATGGGACAGATCCTCTATGCACCCGATTCGCCGGCTGTCAGGCAGATCATAACAAATGTAAGCACCATTGGCCACTTGGTGGATAGATGTATCAATGTGGAGAGTGGAAGTGTAACTATGAACACTGTTAATACAATATTGTAGGAAATCAGTGGAAACACCTGATGCATTATGCTCAATTTGAATAGATAACAGGAGAACTGGGTTGTTGGCAGGATCATTAAACTGAAAAGAAAGTATGGCATTGACCGAGACAAACTAAGACAAGAAATATTGAAAAATGTCTGGAAATAAAGACTATTTCCAGATTACCACCTTCTAGTGACATCCATATCGTTGTCTTTGGAGCAAGCAAGCCTTCTGCAGGGGACAATGCATTTTCCCTCCAAAGGGGATCAGCTTTCCTCATGTCATGTCCAGCCCTTTGTATCTAGATGTAGATACGTGTTGGTCAAAGCCCTTCAGGGGCGACAGTCATGGATGGCTTGGTTGCAATGATCGGCTGTGGTGACTACCACAGAGTCTACTGGCGCCACAGCTTTTTCAATGTTATGTAAGCAGTAAGAGTTCGTCCTTAAAGTCTTGTGATCATTCGCACAAAGAGACACCCACAATCCTGTTTCCTCTTTCCTGACCTTTAATGCCCTCTTTGTTTTCCTCTTCCTTCAGATTGGTATCTTAATTGCACTTAGAAAGTAATGACTAAGGGGTTAATCCATTACTTTACGAGACCATAACATGGCCTCTACAGGGTCTGTGATTCCGTCCTCTTAACTCTGTCATGCATCAGGTTGTTTCAGAAGAAACCCCAAGTGAGGCACCATGCATTTAAACATGTGTTTCTACGCTTTATGTGACTGCTCTTGTGTAATGGTAAACTATGCAAGTCTTACCTGTATCTGACATAAAATACGATTGAACTTGTTTATTCTTACTACCTCATTTAATTTTTGTAATTTTTCTATATGGAAATGGAAATGACTTAATTTCACTTAAGGTCAACTCAAACAACATCAGTAAGTCAAGCATAACTGGTAGGCGCCATGTTTGCGATGGTGTTGGACCCTGTTCTTTTTAACTAAGCTTGCTGACTGAAGGTTTATGCTGAGTTAGGCACAACATACCATCTAGGAACACTACAGCATTCCTCCACTGCCATCTTGAAGAAATCAACTCAAGACATCCCCCAGTCCCCTTTCTGTTTTAAACAGCCCCGGGGAATTGAGGAAGCACTCACTTGTGGGAACCTGACTGGGATTCACTGGGCAGGCTGAATGCATTCGGCCAGTTGTCACCAACAGCCTCCATTGTCACCCCAGCTCCATTGTCCCCATTGTCACCCAAAATCAGACACACACAAGAGGAAGGCGTTTAATTGGGTGTACTCTTGAGCGCTTTCATCCCCCACTGCACATGAATGCATACTGAAATAGCCAGTCTTTGGTATTTGCCACACAAAGCACTGTACCCACACACATCCATGGTTTTCACGATAAGCGTGCAGTAAATATTTGACAATTTGGCAGAGAGTGCATTTGTTTCACAGTTGCTGGTTATCTGAACTGGCCCGCGGGAATTCTTTTTGTGAGAATGTGTGTGTTGTCTTTGGAAAGCCTGTTTTCACAGAGAGTTTGATGTGGGAATGGTATGTAGCAGGAGATTAGGAGAACAGTGACAATGTTTGCATTTGAGTTTCTGAATGTCTTACACATGTGCACGCGTATCCTGTACATGAGTTTGAAGTTTTCCCCAAATGTCTGTATTTGCACGTGTTCCCATATTTCTGTATGGTGTGCACTTAGATATTGGCATTTGTGAAAATAGATGTTTATTTTTTAAAACAATTTCCTGACATAGCAATGTTGAAACACAAACCACTTTGTCACGTTCACATGCACACACACTTTAACATCCCTCCCGTAGGCAAACACTACATTTGAGGAGCTGGAGCGGCTGAGGACGATGGGGAAGGCATGGGAGGAAGTGGCTCCTCAGATCTGGGCTTTTTTCCAAGATGGCGTCCAAGTCAAGATGATCCGGGTAGGACAGCAATATAGTCTGACTGAAAAATTACGTTTACAACATCAAACTACAAGTTATGAAAAAACCTTTAAAGTTATTTCGTCAAATCATGTGTTTGTAGTGGAAACTCCTTTTTTATGCAACCAAATATTGCAAAAATCTTTAATACTAAATTGAATACCCTAATTGTGGTTATAAATGACAACATACTAGCTGCCTTTCGTTTCAGGACACCATCAACAATCCATCAGTGATGGATTTCATTGACAGGAGTCTAGAGGAGTCTCCGCTCTCCTCCAAACACATCCTCAACTTCCTGTACAACGGTCCACCTGAGGACCGTCCAGCTGACGTCCCTGGATTTGACTGGCGTGACATCTTCAACATCACTGACCGGGTCATTCAGATGCTAAACCAACATGGTGATGTGAGTGGACATCACTTTGATCTATCTTTCTAGCATTTCCTTTGTTTTGTAATAGGCCCTTACTTGAATCTAAAATACCACAGCCTGGAGGTATATGTGTAAGCGTGGAGAATTATACTGACCAGTCAAAGGGGGATCCACATTTCAAGATTAAACTTAGGTGCCAGGATTGTTTTTGCTAACTTCTCCCATTGGGTTCTGACGGCAAGAATGTGGACTGTTTTCTTTCACTCCACCTGAGATGTCAAGTTCTAGGACAGGCCTATTCATGGTATAATCCAATCAAGCGCAGGTGTTGTCACTTGTTGATTTCAATAATCTGGTTGGATAACCATTATGTGCTCAATACCACTGTTGATGTGATGTGGGCATTTAGATAAGCTTTTTTTCGTCTCTGCAATTTGTCCGCCAATCCAAAAACATTGAAATCTACCCAGGTGGGCGAGGGCCAAAGCAACAAACTAGCTGTCGAGTCCCTTTTGTTTACTGTCGATGGAGTGGAGGGTAAAATAAAAAAAAACAGAAAAACATCTCAAACCTTCTCTTGTGTGAGCTCTCCACATTTAACTGAGGAATGCATTTTAGAACAAAGTTAAAAACACCCCTTTCCGTACGGAGGCTAATCGGGATGAGAGGCCTATCACACTGGGGGGTGACATGGGGGGCACCTTGAGGCCTGGCTGGATGCATGGTTGGTGCTCTTTGTTTTTGTCCAAGTTGAAGCTTACAGCACTTGAGTGTGACAGGGAGAGAAGGAACGATTGAGGCCGATTAGATACAGCTGTCACTCCATCCACCATCCTTTATAAAGGGCCAACAATGACTGTGGGCTTGAAGGCTGGTTGGCTGCACGTTGGTGGTATGCAGGCATATCACATCACACAGTAGGGCTGCAGTGTTAGTAGCTGAATGCTTTGGCAATTAAGGGACGGCCTTTGAGATTTAAATAATTAGTCGGGTGTGTTTGGTGTACATTGTGTCTCTAAGTGTATAAATGCGTACATTTGGATGCATGGCAAATTGTGTGTAGCCAATGTGTGTTTTGGGTTTGGGTTGTATCTGTGCATAGGATCTCAGGGGTAGATTGTTGTTTTCGAGGGTTTCTTTTGGAACATCGCTGTCCCTATTTGCTTTAGCTTACAGTGAATGGCTATGTTAGACACGCTTTGAATGGAAGAGGCAACCACTGCCGGAGTTTCTCTGCAAATGGGGGCAGATATTTTGGATTAAAGTGACTAAAGCCAACATTCGCAATTCCAGACTTTACATTTTTGGGCCAGGCTAGCAACCAGGTTCTACAAATTGTGATGTGATTGTGATCTGTTAGGTGCTGTAGATTCACCATTTTTGTCCAGACTGTACATTTTCAACAATAATAGAATTACAAATTCTACAAACATTCATTGTCTCCAGAGGATGAATCCATGATTACTCTGATTGAAGCCATTTCCATCCACGTTCCACGTGTCCAGTAAAATTATTTGACTTCACTCTCGGAACAGCACAAGACATTCATGGTTTCCAGAAAATACCCTGTTGACTTTTACCTGAAAAACAAGTGTCATTCCCATCAGCCTAAGCTCTACTGTTTTAGAGCTATTTAGAAAACGGTACCATGACTAAGATCTAAGATTGTGGATATGGCATAAGATGGTGTATGATATGGCAAACATTATACCTTTTTTAATGGATTCTTCTCCCTCCTTCAGTGTGTACTGCTAGATAAGTTTGTGGCTGTGTCTGATGAGAACACCATCACTCATCGAGCCTTGGACCTGTTAAAGGACAACAAGTTCTGGGCAGGCCTCGTCTTCGTTAATATGCACTCTTGGACCACCGATGTCCCACCTCATGTTAAGTTCAAGATTCGGATGGATATTGATGCAGTGGAGCGTACCAATAAGGTCAAAGACAGGTATAAATAAACAGTTAAGTGGAAATGATGAGTTTAGTATAATGATAATAAACTTGCCAAATAAATATATTTGTAATGCTTAGGTATTGGGACCCGGGCCCCAGAGCTGATCCTATGGATGACTTTCGCTATGTTTGGGGAGGCTTTGCTTATCTTCAGGACATCATAGAGCACGGGATCATCAAGACTCAGACAGGAAAGGAGTGGCCAATGGGTATTTACCTACAGCAGATGCCCTACCCTTGTTATGTGGATGACCTGTGAGTAAAAAAACATCAAAACATATCTACTTTTTTAAAACAGTGTAACTTATATATTCCCAGAATCACAAAATGGTGGTGTACTGCTTCAGTAACTGTGTCATTCCCCTCTATATTGTTCTCCTTCCTCCCCTTTATTTAGCTTCATGCTCGCATTGAACCGCTGTTTCCCAATCTTCATGGTACTGGCCTGGGTCTACTCTGTGTCCATGATTGTCAAGAGTATTGTCCTGGAGAAGGAACTGCGCCTGAAGGAGACCATGAAGGCCATGGGGGTCACTAATGGAGTCATCTGGTCCACTTGGTTTATTGACAGCTTCCTCATGATGGGCATTAGCACGGCGCTCCTAACCGCCATCATCATGGTGAGGATGGATTTTTTTTAAAACTGTCCAAAGTTCTTCTTACCTGCAACATCATAAATGTTTCAAACAAGCACTGTTTGTTTAGACAGAATACCTGGTTCCAAAGTTGGCAGAACACTGATGATGCAAAGTATAAAATCTGTAATCATGTTATCATCATTTTATTGTCATTAGCCGCTTTCACACCAAGTACTTTGCCGTACTTAGTGCCGGCACTTAGTACCCCAGGCCCAGGGCACTAAGTACCAATCGCGTTCACACCGGAGTACTTTTCCCTGAGGGAAGATTACGCAAATGAGCCGCTGACGTCACTTCGTCTTCTTCTGCTTTGGGTTTACTGGCAGGCCGCAAACAACTTCACGGCGTATACTGCCACCCGAAGTCCCCGGCCAGAAGTCCCCGGAACTAAGGACTGGCTTCAGTAGAAAGCAGCTTCTACTGAAGCCTTCCGAGTAAAACGCCAGAACGCCGACACCTCTCCATATGCTGTGAAGAAATATAAGCTGGTGTTGATTGGTGCTGCTTGCAAAGTGTGTATTCTCTCCGTTGGTGCGCGGGACTAATGCTAATGCTAATAATGCTAATGCCAGCAAATACAATGGTGACTTCAACTTTTCAGAGTTTTACGGGGCGTGGAATTCGCCCAGCCAATAGAAATTGGTACTTTTTTGGTACTTTTTTGGTACCACCTCTCTAGCAGGCACTAAAAATGGGGGTACAAGTACTCTTTTTGGTGTGAACGTGACATAGGGGTAGCCTACTAACGGAACTAAACGGGAAAAGTACGAGGAAAAGTACTCCTGTGTGAACGCGCCTCATAGTTAAAAGTTATTTTTCCTTGACATAATGAATTACCAATAGGGCCTCGCTGATTGCATACCTATAAATCATTGATGAGAGAACCGTGAATACCATGACATCATGAGAATTTCTGTCAACAACTTTAAAGGAATGGGCTGGTCAATGATTAACTTATCTATGTTGTAAAAATCACAAGTCATCCCATGTAGTCAGCTAACATCTTCTTTTAAGATGTGCTGTTCTGACCTCTAGTGGACGATATATGTAATTAGATTTTTAATACTAAACTAACCCAAAGAATATCCATGTCATTAATATGGTATTTATAAGCCCATAACATGGAAAATTGGCTAAATATACCTTTTGATTATGTTTAACATCTTAAGGTTTCTAAATATTTCAAACTGGCTATAAACAAACAAGTTTGATTCAAATGACAACGCAAAAAACATGCAGATTATTCCAATTTGATTATAAAAACACTGCATCCTTTAATATTTTTGCTCAATTAAAGCATTATATTTATAGCAATGCCGATACAAAATATATTTAAATTAAATCAGATATGATCAAAATGATTTCCCCTTAACTTACCATGCCCTGTTATTGAGAATATGAATCACTATGTCTCTTGGATCCACAGTGTGTTTGATGGTCCTATGCTGATTCAGTGCATTGCATGTTATACAAATCCCTCTTTGTGTTTCCATAGGGAGGAAGGGTCCTGAACTACAGCAACGGCATCATCCTTTTCCTTTTTTTGCTCAGCTTTACTATGGCTACCATCATGCAATGCTTCCTCCTCAGCGTCTTCTTCAACCAGGCCAACCTAGCAGCAGCCTGCTGTGGGATCGTTTACTTTACCCTTTACCTCCCGCACATCTTCTGCTTCGCATGGCAAGACCGCATCACAAAGGATATGAAGCTGTTGCTGGTTGGTGTCCCATTCAGATGCCCATCAGACATTCACAAAGTCTATGTTAAATTAACTACATGGTTAAATGTTACGTTTAATAAAGTAGAACAAATACCATTTTATTATTGTCTCTTTCCTTAGAGTCTGCTGTCCCAAGTGGCGTTTGGCTTTGGAACAGAGTACCTGTCGCGATATGAGGAGCAGGGCCTGGGTCTGCAGTGGGACAACATCCGAACCAGCCCTTTGGAAGGGGATGAGTTCTCCTTTCTTACTTCCATCAGTATGATGGTCCTGGACACTGTGCTTTATGCTGTGTTGGCCTGGTACCTGGACAATGTCTTCCCTGGTCAGTGTAACAGGAATACATGAATGCTTAGGTTACAACTTTTTCTGTCAATCAAAAAAATACTTTAATTTCTTTACAGGTTAACTGTAGCTGAAGTAATATGTATATTGTTTTCATTATAGGCCAGTATGGAATTAGTCGTCCGTTTTACTTCCCCTTCCTGCGCTGTTATTGGTTTAACAGTGTGTCGCCGGATTTAGGTAAGCTTACTTTCTTAAATTTACCCTGTTCATTATTGTGCATAAGAAAAGTGTTATACTTACGGGAGAGACATTCATTCAGCGACATAATGTGTAAATTATAGCCATTTTAAAAATCCTTTCTTTTGTCTTCAAAGGTGACGAAAAACTACATTTGGATAAAAAATGCTCTGATAGCATGGCCAACAAAGAGCAAGGAGAGCTGCAGAAGCAAGAGGAAAATGAAAACCAAAATCAAGAGGAGGAGAAGACTCAGGAGGAGACGGCTTCATGTGAACACCAGGAGAACCAGGCTGAGGCAGAGGAGAACCAGGAGAAAGAAGGTATACTAGTTACATACAAGTTATGTGTGCAAAGCTGGTTTTCTTACACAGAGAGCTATTCCTTCCTGAAATAACTGCTCCTCATATTCTACCACAGGGTATTAAGGATACAGTTCTATCATACTACCATCTATCATTCTATTATTACACATTACAGCTGCATTTGTCTTTCAAGACTGATCACATGAGCAAATTACAGCATAATTCCACATAATACAGAGTTTAATAATTATGTTATCATGCAATATTTATCCAACTACAGTAGATTATCTCTTTATAGGATTAGAGCCATTTCTCTATTTGCACACATCACATTCATTGGGTGGGAACTCAGTGCCCTTGTGTTTGTTTGCATTTGCTGGCATATGTGAACATACTGTTAGCTTCTCAGTTTCCTGCTTAGTTAATAAGTGAGGGACACTGTTTTCTTCACACAGTTTGGAATACCAGACCACTGATCTCATATTTGGAAATAAAACAGCCTTTTTTTGTTTACTAAAAGTCAAAGGAAATTATATGTGGTTGTGATTGTCACTTTGTACGATTTGGTTAACTTCCAGACACATTTGTAATACATGTGGTTCTCTTTGTTGTATGAAGGTCAGTCATTCTTTGAAGCAGAGCCAGCTGACCTGGTGAAGGGTGTTTGTATTCAGGACCTGGTCAAGGTGTTCAGTGGTAACCCTACGCCAGCAGTGGATGGACTTAGCATCAGCTTTTATGAGAGCCAGATTACTGCCTTTCTGGGACAGAATGGGGCTGGGAAGACCACCACCATGTATGTCACACAGATGCATTCTCACACACACAAAAACATAAACCAAAAGGCTTATGTAGCCAGGGGACAAAATGTTCCTCCCTACTGATTGTTCTCTCTCTTTCTCTTCTTCCCAGGTCTATCTTGACTGGTATGTTCCCTCCCACCTCAGGGACAGCCACCATCTACAACAAGGACATCCGCACAGACATGGACACCATCCGCCTGTCTCTGGGAATGTGCCCTCAACACAACATTCTTTTTCAGCAGTATGTAACTCTTAATGATAGTAGTTTTGATAGATTGCTTGGTTTATAGTACCACATTAAAATGTAATACAAATAAAAACATGGATTCAGTGTGTTACATGTAAGTTGTAACTGGATTATTGCTTTCCCCTCTTTCAGTATGACTGTAGCGGAACATATCCTCTTCTACTCGCAATTGAAAGGCCGTTCAATAGCAGAGGCCGAGCAGGAGGTGGAGAACATGCTGCAGGATCTGGGTCTTCCACACAAGAGAAATGAACTGACCCAGAACCTCTCAGGTCTGTCTGGATACTTAAAAAAAAAGAAAAGATGGTCCCAATTTAGTATTCTGGTACAAACGGACCATACAAGCCAAACACACATCTGAGTCGTGCACTTTATGTGTTCATCCAGGTGGAATGCAGAGGAAGTTATCAGTAGCTTTGGCGTTTGTTGGTGGGGCCAAGGTGGTGATCCTGGATGAGCCCACTTCCGGGGTAGACCCCTACTCCAGACGCTCCATTTGGGACCTGCTGCTCAAATATCGTGCAGGTAAGTCTGACCCCTGGTGGCTAGAAAAGGGGATAGAGTCTTAATGTGATGGTGCTGTGGAGGTTGTCTGCACCGGCACCACTGGAGGACATTTTCTAAAAGGCTTTTCCCACAGAATCATCAAAAATTCTTTCATATCTCTTTATTTACCCCTTCTATGTTGCCCCTCTTTGTCACATGTCGCAGGACGCACAGTGATCATGTCCACACACCACATGGACGAGGCGGACCTGCTGAGTGACAGGGTGGCGATCATCTCTCAGGGCCGCCTCTGCTGCTCCGGTTCCCCTATCTTCCTCAAGAACTGTTTTGGCGCAGGTTTCTACCTCACTCTTGTAAGAAAAATGAAACATGATACCAAAAAGGTGAGAACAAATGAGAATGAAGCCTTGTTTGTGTTTTGTTTGCATGGCACAAAGGGGTAGATTTAAAAGTGACATGATGAATAAGAAGGTGGATTTAAATATACTGCCACATTTTTTGTCTGGCTAGAACAACATATGAAAGAGCATTTGTGATTTGAACGAGTCTCTCTGAGACTGAGGGTGAGCAATATATGTAAAACATGCTTTAAAGTAAAATGTTGTCCTGCAGGCCAGCTGTCACTTAACAGAGGATTGCTCCTGTTGCTGTTCAATGTGTTCAAAGTTTAAAGTGGACCAGGAGGAGATTCAGACTTCAGACAGACAGCTGGATGGTAAGTTCCAAATAATGTGTTTGTGTTGTTATTTCTGAGGCCTGTGTCTACTGCCAAGTTCATTGTCAATATCCTTAAACATGTTTTAGGTCTATTCAACTTCTAAGTTATTAATACCTTTGTCATAATCTCTTAATCATGTTAGTCAATAGCTCGTTTGCACTGGATTGTAGTCAGTCTACGTACTGTAGATGCTGCCAACACACCTAGAAACACCCTCTATTAACGTACACACAATTATCTTTATACCCTTTAAAGGTCAATTTGATGTTCAGTTGTTCTCCACCACATGCTGTAGCTTAATGTGTTGTTCTTCTTTTTTTAATTCATAACTGTGATTATCATCTTCTTACAGCACATTTCTGTCACCTGTCACTTTTCAGATATTTTAATAATACTGTTGACTGTTTACCTTACATTCTCAAGGTCCTTATTTAAAAAAGATATTCACTTACGATAATATGTGTGTAAATAATGCACTACCACTTAATCCACAGTTTTTTTTACAGTTATGGTTAAGGACTCTCCCTACACAAATATTTTGAGTGGCAAGAGACAATTGAACCTCAAAGTTAAAAATGAATTTGACTTCTGGCATAATTATAATAAATGAGTTTTGAAAATGTTTATAGATATTAAACATCATTAACGTGATTCATTTTGACAACAATAATTGTGTAATAAAAATCAGATAATGACAACCCTAAGACAGGCAACAACAAACAAACAAACAAACAAACAAACCAATAACTTGTGCAGGATGTTGAAATAAGGCAATAATAATCTTGTCCCCCAGGTAACATGGAAAGCATCACAGCCCTGATCAAGCATCACGTGCCCCAGGCTCGGCTCATCGAGGCCATTGGCCAGGAGCTGACCTACCTGCTGCCAAACCAAAACTTCCAGCACAGAGCGTACGCCAGCTTGTTCAGAGAGCTGGAGGAAACCCTGGTGGACAGCGGCCTGAGCAGCTTTGGGGTCTCCGACACATCGCTCGAGGAGGTGTGTGAAAATAATAGGAAAAAAAATGAAGCAGTTGTCATCTTGAGAATGCAGTTGTGATTTATTGGTCAAATAAAAAAAGTTATTTACATTAACACATTTACATTGCAGTCTCGGGACTTAAGAAATTAGACAATGTCTGCCCGCTGAATCAAACCTAGTTTTAGTCATTGAAATGCAAATGGTGTTTTCATTTCCAGTGCTAAATTTAATGTAATACCAATATTAAAAAAAACGAGTGTTTTATTGAAACAATCAGTCATACAGACGCTGCCTGACATTCACCTTTACAGTGATTACGCTCTCTAATAAAGAGCATATGTTCATCTTGGATTCTAACAATAACAAGCTATGTGTTTGTAGATCTTCCTAAAGGTCACTGCTAGTGGGACCAACAGGAAATGTATTCCAGGTAAATACATACAATAACATTTGTAGCCTATTCCCCAACCTCTGTTTCCTGTCATGTTGAGTTGTTGTGAGTCTGAATGTGTAGCTGTATTTCTCGTAGCCCACTCATTGTGTGTACTTCATCCTTTGTATTCAATTCTCTAACTCCCTCAGACAAGAAATCATTGCAACAGATCTGTCGTAGACTCTGTGGATTCAACAGAGTGGCAGTTGATATGGAACCACCGAAAGGTGACAATGGCTTTTAGTTGACAGCTCTGGACAAATGCTGCTGTTGCCGAAAATAAATATAATTTATGAATGGTTAGATTTTATTTTGGATCCTAATGACAAACCAGTATCATGTTAAGAAGATGAACTATATCCCTTAGGCTAGTTCAGTGTGCAGTTAAATATTTGTTTCTACAAATGATGTGCTTGCTGGCTAGCCTTTTTAATTTAGAATTTGCAACGCACGTGCAAGTCAGACTGTGCAACTTGACTTGAGCTCTATATTCTAGATTCAGATGGGCCTTTGAAAACCAATGGCCGGGGCCCATGTGATGTCTCGGACGGCACTGCAGGCCGGGGGTCCTACCAGGTCAGAGGGGTGCGTCTCACAATCAAACAGTTCTTCGCACTGCTGATCAAGAGATTGCATCATGCAACGCGATCTTACAAAGACTTCTTCGCCCAGGTAACCTTACCATCATCTAGCAAACCACATTTCAATGCAGTAATCTAAATATAATTGTATGTTTTAGGTGTTACCCCAATATGTTCTAGGGCCTTGATCTTAATTAGAGCATTGTTGCATCTGTTTTTTTACATGGCACATGTGTTTATGTCTTTGGTAGATTGTGCTGCCAGCCAGTTTTGTTTTTGTGGCCCTGACGTTCACTCTGATCGTTCCACCTTTCGGAGAGTATCCAAGTCTGACCCTCAGTCCCTGGATGTATGGGAGACAGTACACCTTCTTCCGGTGGGCAAAATGGACACAATGTCACCAAAGAGAAGATTCACCAAATCAATCAGATCAGAACAATACTTATTGACTTAAAATGCTCATTGTCGTTTTCTGATTTTACCATTGCAGCAATGAGCGTCCTATGGATGCTCAGATGAGATACTTTGGTGAGGTGCTGTTGAACAAGCCTGGCTTTGGGACACGTTGCATGGTGGATGAGCCACTTGAGTAAGTCACCTACACATATATTGATCATTTTTCCCTCTATACTGTTTGTTTTTCTCACTAAGTAAATGTATTCCACTGGTAGAGATTTCCCATGTCACAACATCACTACAGAGTGGGAGATGCCCCTGATTAACCCCGTCCTGATAGAAATGCTGGCCGGCCCAGAATGGACCTCCCTCAGACCGTCTCCCGACTGTCAGTGCAGCACTCCCAGTAAACTCACCATGCTCCCTGTGTGTCCTGCTGGAGCTGGAGGCCTGCCACCTCCACAGGTATGGACTTGGGTCATTTATGATAAAAATGACTTCTATTGCTGATCATATTAAATATAAAGTCTTTGTTTATCTTTTGCACCAGAGGATCCAGTCAACAGGTGATGTTCTCATGGACCTAACAGGCAGGAGCATCTCTGACTACCTGGTGAAGACCTACCCCAGCCTCATCAGAACCAGGTATAAGAGCCTGTACACCCTTTCCAAAGGAAGAGCTTTCTTATTTAATGCATTCATTATTTATACTTATAAAATATTTGTACTATATTTTCTCTCCTCTAGATTGACCTAAACTTAGAAAGCAAAACACTGTTACTGTATTAAATCAAAGATGTAAGATGTGTGCGTGACCCTCAATTAAAAAGTACATTATATTACAATCCGGTAATACGCCGCAGCCGACTAAGGCCGCTATGCAACAGTGGAGGATTAGAGAAACAGATGTTTGCCTGGCACTCTGTGGCGAAGTTGGGAGGTGGAACTTCCACCCCGCTGCGGAACCCGTGGTGGGACCCCTGAGTCAGACGGTTCGTCTTGTAATGTTATGTAATGTTAATATTAAAGTGCGAAATGTTTCTTCTCTTTCAGCTTGAAGAGCAAATATTGGGTGAATGAACAAAGGTAATTTCATGACTTGACTAAATGCTTGGTAATGCAGTTCTCCATCTAGTGGTGCAATAATGTTGTACAGTTTTTGGGCTGCAGTAGTTCCAGGTAGAGTAAGGCTTTGTAGATGTCAGCAGGGTTTGCTCTGTGTCCAGGTATGGAGGTATATCAGTGGGAGGGCAGCTTCCTCTTTTAGAGCTGCAGCCAAAGACCATCAGGGATGTAGCAGCACAGATGGGACGACTGCTCAATGTCACTGGGGTAGGCTTTAAAACTCAACATTATGGGCTTGTTTATTTCTTCCGCACTTTTATGATTGTTTCTTTGTCAACCTTAATTTGCTCCACTGTAATTTTTGTTTGCAGGGAAAATACTCCAAGCAAACGCTAAAGGACATAGGAACCTTCCTCAAATTTATGGAAACTCAAAACAATGTCAAGGTCAGTTCCAATAATGCCTCTTCAGCAGCATACAACCTTCTTTAATGTGATCGTCTTGTCTCATTGTGGAAAAACATTTAATAGACTTTACATCATTTTCTCACAGACCAAGTAAATGATGTGGTTTGGGATATGTCAAACATTATAAATCGTCACTGATCAAGTACATTGTCTTCCGACAGGTGTGGTACAACAATAAAGGCTGGCATGCCATGGTTTCCTTTATGAATGTGGCTAACAACGCCATCCTTCGTGCAAACCTGCCGAAAGGAGCTAACCTGGATACATATGGAATCACTGCCATCAACCACCCTCTGAACCTCACCAAAGAACAGCTGTCTGAGATCACTGTGTGAGTCACCAATGGCTGGACAGATCAGATTACATTTCAAAATGTAAAACCTTTCTGGGTATTTGCTAGGAAAACTAAAAACTATTCTAAGAAATAGCATCACCAGGTTGTAATACTTGTGAAGTAGGTCAAGTATTCTGTTTTTTTAAGTGTCTCTAATAACTTTCCTCCCTTCTTTCCCTAGCCTGACCACCTCAGTGGATGCAGTGGTGGCCATTTGTGTCATCTTTGCCATGTCCTTCGTTCCTGCCAGCTTCGTGCTCTATTTAATCCAGGAGAGGGTTACCCAGGCCAAACACCTGCAGTTTGTCAGTGGTGTCAGTCCATTGGTGTACTGGATGGCCAACTTCCTCTGGGACATGGTACAGTGACCCTTTTACCTTGTAAGGTGTGCAATAATGTTTTTTAAGAACAACACATTTAAAGACACCCAAATGTAAATTGGCTTCTTGCAGTTTGCTCATAAGAGAACTTTATTGACCCATCTTCTGGAGCATGCATATCCTTATTGTTTTATTGTTTTTTGACAGTTGAATTACTCCATTAGTGCAGCGTTGGTGGTTGAAATATTCATATTTTTTGATAAGAAGTGCTACACCTCACCAACCAACATCCAGCCACTTATTTCCTTGCTTATGCTGTATGGGTAAGTGTTTGCATTTTTTTTACAACAAAGAATCATTTTTTCTCAATCTTAGTAGCTTTGCTTTTTGCGACATTCTTTGGGCTTACCTAATGCTTTTTTCCTCTCTCTCTTTCTCTCTCAGCTGGTCTGTGACGCCCATGATGTACCCCATGTCTTTTGCATTCAGCGTCCCCAGCACAGCATACGTCTCTTTGTCATGTATCAACCTCTTCATTGGAATCAACAGCAGTGCCATCACCTTCATCCTGGACCTCTTTGAGGGCACCTCAGTAAGAACACAGGGCTTGAAATGCCATTTTGCATGCATCTTCCATAGTACCCTAATTTGGATTTCTTTTACAGGCCTTGTACAGGTTCAACCAGATGTTAAAGACTGTGCTGCTCATCTTCCCACATTACTGCCTGGGCCGAGGTCTCATAGACATGGCCATGAACCAGGCTGTGACTGATATCTACGCTCGCTTTGGTAAGGACACACACATGCTCATACGTACATGTTACATCCATCAAATACTTATAGCAACAAAAACCTCCCAATGCTCGACAGTCTGAATGTATTCTGGCTAAATGGCTGCATAACAAATTTGGACCAGTAAACTGCAGGGTCGTAAACCCTCTGTTTGCACCAAATAGGACAACATATGAAATCTACCAATACAAATACAATCCCTCTTTTTACCTTGCATTGTAACTTTTGTTAACAGAATGGCAGATAATCTGACTGAAAAGTGTGCATGTGGTTTGTATTTCCTCAGGTGAGGACTACAGTCCGGACCCCTATAACTGGGACTTCTTGGGGAAGAACCTTTTCTGCATGGCTGTTGAAGGATTTCTATATTTCATCTTGAACCTTCTGTTTCAGTATCGCTTCTGCCTGGATCACTGGTAAGCGTAGTGGAGCTTAAATTGGGGAACTGATAGAGCAAAGATAATTGTTCTTTGATATTACATTGAGTGTGATAACAAAACACTTCTTCCATTGGCAGGATGTCAGATTGCACCAGGCCTCCTATTGTGGATGAAGATTTAGACGTGGCAGAGGAACGAGATCGACTCTATAAGTGTGAAAAAACAAATGACATCTTATGCGTACGGGACCTGTCCAAGGTAAGACATGTTTGTTTGCCAAAATGTATGTTAAACGAAGGATTTCTGTCTAAAAAGTATACTGTCATATTTTGTTTTCATTTTTGCCTTGCCAGACATACACAGGAGCAATCATCCCTGCAGTGGATCGAATCTGTGTCGCAGTGTCACCTGGACAGGTTTGTGTGATAAAACACACTGAGGCAATTGACTTCACAGAGGGAGCATTCTGTATATTCATTATATCTTTCATGTTTTTTCCTCCAGTGCTTTGGTCTACTTGGGGTAAATGGAGCAGGGAAAACAACAACCTTTAAAATGTTAACTGGAGACATTGATGTCACCTCAGGGAAGGCCTCAGTTGCTGGTCACAGGTCTGTAATAATTGTTTTTACAAATAGAAAGAACACATTTTAATTTAACAAACATTTTACCCAAAGTGTTTCTTCCTAAATCTGTAGCATTCTGACCAACATCCTGGATGTCCACCAGAACATGGGGTACTGCCCACAGTTTGATGCCATAGATGAGCTGCTAACAGGCAGAGAACATCTCCACCTCTACGCTCGCCTGCGTGGAGTTCCAGAGTCTGAGATCAGCAGGGTGAGGTGCAGCTATTGCCACGAAATAAATCATTTAAAGCTGGACCTGACAGTTGTAGGCAGCACTGCAAATGAGAAATATGATGAGTAAAAAAAAGAGTGATATCTTATAATAGAGACTATTAAAATAATGAAGATAAACCAAAAAAAAGTATATCTATTTTGAGAAAGAATTAGACCAGTAGTGGGGCATTAAAGAAGCTACAGTATATATTTTGAGTAATGCCAAAATAGATCCACAGATAAGAACATATGTTTTGTCAAGCTTGTACTACCCTTATATAAAGCATTTAAATATCATTGTCATAATATTATAGTGTTTTAAAGAATGAAAGATAGGTTAGAAACCCTGTGTTATTAGAAACTACAATGTATGAATAGTGTCTTTTCAATATTTAAACCTGACAAGTAGTCCTTGACCTAATTGTAAAATAAGGCACTAATAGTATCCTTCACATGCGCAGGTTGCAGAGTGGGCCATTCAGAAACTGGATCTGTCAGAGTATGCCAGCCAAAGTGCTGGGACCTACAGCGGGGGCAACAAGAGAAAACTCTCCACAGCGATCGCCATGATAGGCTGCCCTGCGCTGGTGCTACTGGTAAGACCAACGCTCCCCATTGATTTGTTGGGATTAGAAGAGATGTGGTATTTAATATGCAAGATGACTGTGTGTATGTTAATGTATTTTTTGTAATCACTGTACATAAGGATGAGCCCACTACAGGCATGGACCCTCTCTCCAGACGCTTCCTGTGGAACTCCATCATGAGTGTTATTCAAGACGGACGTGCTGTGGTCCTCACCTCACATAGGTAATTTATCTAGTGTGGCTAACTGACTGTGTGTGTGAATGCATTTCATTGAATTCTAATTCCACCATCTTTCTTTACAGTATGGAGGAATGTGAGGCGCTGTGTACCCGCTTAGCAATTATGGTTAATGGATCCTTTAAGTGTTTGGGAACTATTCAGCATCTGAAATACAAGTTAGTCATTATACTTCCATATCATGTATCAATATTTCTAATTATATTCCTGAAACATTAATGAACCAATTCGAATTTTTGGAAAGTGTTTTGATTTTTCGTTTTTCTTTACATCAATGTTACTGTAGGTTTGGTGACGGCTACGTGGTGACCATGAAGATAAGGGCAGCTAAACCTGGTTGTTCCCCAGACCTGACCCCTGCTGAAGCCTTCATGGAGAGCACCTTCCCCGGCTGCATACAGAGAGAGAAACACCACAACACTCTGCAGTACAAGATTTCCTTCTCCTCCCTGGCTAAGATCTTTCAAATGGTCCTAGCTAACAAAGACAAGCTCAACATAGAGGACTACTCAGTGTCCCAAACCACTCTTGACCAGGTAAATGAGCCTATTGAAACATGATCAATTATGAAATGGAAATTTGCCAAAATCCACAGCAGCTGTTTATTTGTTTTAGGGAAATAGGTTCATCTTCATTTTTTCTATGTATTTCCCTGTAGGTTTTTGTGAATTTCGCCAAGCAACAGTCTAGAGAGGACGAAGCTATCGTGTTGCATCCAAAAGCTGCTGGGGCACAGCGATATATTGAAGCAATACCCTTCAAGCCTTTGAAGAAGTGAACTTACTTTCATGAGTTGAACTAGAGGACAATGCTTTGGAGGAATGAAAGTTGAACCTCCTTTTCAAATAAAACAGTCAAAAGAAGAATCTCTACATTCTGCAGGGTCTGTTGGAGACAAGTGACTTATGCCTTCATATTTGAGCAAAAAAAGGGTGTATATCACATCATTGGAGGGGCCTTTTGAGTGGGGCAGTCCTTGTTGATCCATTATGTGGGGTTGGATCTTGAAAAGCAGTTCGTGATTGAAGCAGCCCTATGTAGGACATGATCATATATGTCATATTTGACTGTTGATTTGACATGTTGCAATACTCTTATTTTCCAGTAATGCAGTAAATCGGCTTTGGAATTTGGAAAGTGTGGCACATGTGCGTGCTTTATGTTCCAAGTCTTGCTCACCTTGTAGGCCTTGCAAACTAAAAAACAGAACTTGATCTGTATAACAGGGTCCGTGACTTTGATTGCTTACGTGTAAAAAAAAGTTCAATATCATGTTGTGATGGGAATGTGGAGAAAGCATGAAGGTTCCGTGTTTTTTTTTAATTTGCTTTCAGACGCCATATTTTTTTTGCCTTCTACAGATTTGCAGAATAAGCACTCAGAAAAATATTCTTAGCACTTTATTGATGCAGCTTTAATTGAAGCATCATAATTATTTTCAAGATGTTCTGCTAGTGCAATACAGCTAATGCTTTCTTTTTTTTTTTTTTACAAAATCCTCTTCATTTTAATATCATGTGATGATTTTCTGCCACACATATCTTGTTCACACTTTGCGCTTTATCATTATGAAAATGTTATCAGGGCTTCATATCAAATAAATAAACACTTAAGATGTGGACTTTTCCCCAGAGAAATCATGTGTGATGTATTTTTAACTCAAGTCACTCACATACACATACAATACATAACAGTTTTAAAACCTGAGATTAGACAGTAGGGCTGGAGAACAACAGTTATTATTGACTGATGAGTCCTCTACACATTCATTCCAGAAGTCACATTTCTACAGTATAGTTTTCCATTTCTCTTAAGTACAAATCTGAGATAAATGGTGGAGAAGCTTATTATTAGCATCATTTAACATCTGCTTTTAGTGCTTCAAGCATGTGTCATTGAACATAAGTGTCTCAACCTGTGGGGTAATAAGTCAGCTTGTAATGATAAATACTCATTGGGAACAAACTAACAAAAAATGAACGTATTATATTTTTTAGATGTTCCAGTATATTGCCATAATATTTACATTCCTACCCCTTTCAGTACATAGATATATAAAATATATTGCATAGTATTGGCCTTAGTAGCAGCAAACATCGTTTACTGTAAGTGCAAAACCCTTGAGGACTGTGAAAATACATAACTTGTATGCTACAATAGTTCATTTTGTTTTGATCAATATCAGAGAACCAGGGGGATAATGGCCATCCGGACGCTGGGATAGTCCTTGAACTCCCTGCTGTAGGCTCTGTGCTTCCCTTTGGCCCAGATGGCCATCTGAAGGAACCCCAGTAATGTGTACAATGCCACTGGAAAACAAAACATACAAGCAGAGAATACACAAGTGGATTTCGGTCAATAAAACATAATGTACTGCTGCAATACTAGTGAACATACCTGGCAGACACTGGGTCATGATGGAAAAGCTCATCCAAGCTCCAACCTAGAGTATGTGTCAAAAATACAGGCAGAGAGGTAAACACACAAGCCTGGGCAATACTATGTGTAATGATGAATTACTTGAAAGGCTCTTGATTACCTCATATGTGTAATTTGGACAGGAAACAAAGAAAAATAGCCATGTGAAGGGGTTCTTTGTTGGTGCTGGAAATCTTCTGCACCTGGATCCTGAGAAATAGTTTGTGACAAAAACATAATATTTTTTACCATATTAAAAATACTCTAGACACCAGTATCATGCATGTTTTAATGGTGAATCAACCAAAAAATATTTTCAGCCTGAAGTAAGCAACTATTAAAACAGGGACAATTAAAGGTTTTAATATATTTATCACAAAAACAATCTAAATGGATGGATTAGAAACCGTCAACAGAATAATGCAACAACTCACCCTCTGCTCTGAGATTATTTAGAGTCAAGTGAATGGAGAAGTTTCCCAGTTCACACATCTAACAGAAAAAAGCATTTTGCACCCTTACTGTCAAACCGTGAAACAAATGTTATTGAGTTGATGTGGAATTTCAGTGTACTGTACTTACCATAAATATGAATAATGCATAGTTGACTTGTAGTTCTCCATATGCTGTGAAGAAATATAAGCTGGTGTTGATTGGTGCTGCTTGCAAAGTGTGTGTGTGTGTGTGTGTGTGTGTGTGTGTGTGTGTGTGTGTGTGTGTGTGTGTGTGTGTGTGTGTGTGTGTGTGTGCGCGCACACATAGGCTGACTTACATGGAGGTGTATAAAGTGGATGGTTGATATAGTAGGCCAACCAAGCAGAGCAACCCCAGTAATAGGAACAGTTCTAAGAGAGGAAACAATTCTGAACTGGTCGATGTAAATTAAAATGTAATTACAATTCAAATGTTTAACTACTAAACACACCTAAAAAAAGACCGATAATAACGACATTCTGTATCAGAGGTTGTCATTATGCGGTCAGAGGCTCATCTTTTCATGGGTGGTCATGTCCTCACCCTGACTATCGTCCTGAGAGGCATGGTCCCATGGGAGAAACGATGCACAAAGATAGTCTCTATCAACTTCTTCATATAGTGGCAGGTGTGACAGGCACAGGCTAGTCTGGGGGAGAGAGAGAGAGGTGGGAGGATGTCAGAAGTACCAGTATCGTTTGAGATTATAATTGCCCTAAGTGCCAAACATACATCATTGGATGACACACCACAGCATGACAAGGAATTGTGTGAATTGTGGGGGAAACTTCTGAAGCAATTGGAAACAGGACTCAGAGAGACACGATGAGAGCTGGAGCTTTGATGGCAAACACTGACGGTTTATTTGGAGCTTCGGCCGGAGAACTGACAAGACATGTCACGGGCCACGATCTGACCACACGGTTGAGATGCCAAATACATTCTGAAGAACCCTTCTGTAGTTCGATGTTTTAACTAGTTCAGAGTGTAATAATCAACATTCTTCAATAGATAGACTACACAGCTGAGGGACACTGAATCACATTTGTTGTCTCTTATGGCTCGGGGTCATCTACACCCCAAGAAGGATGTGTTCCAGGTGTCCCATAACAATAACTATTTCTGACAGAGAGTTGCCCGGTCATAAACTGGTAACAACAACAAAATGCTAGGGCAGCCCCTCCTTAAGGGATATAACGGCTGCCCAAGGCTGGGCATCTGCGTCAGAGGGCGAAAGATGACATGCAGGGGAAATTATTCCCTGACATGAATGAAAAATGCATTGTTTCCAAACTTGAATTCCTTATTTTAAACCCACAACCTACCTGACAACCTGATGAGGACTAGAGGTTAAGGCATATCTGTGAGAGTAAATGTACGGCACACGAAAATAGAAGAGGAGGTAGGTGAGAAGGGGCCCGATGAACTCTGCCAGAAACACCTGGAAACAAAACAAGTATTAACAAAGGTAATAAGCAAAAATAAATTGAACTTGTAAGTGTGAGTTATATGATTTGGAACTTGTATATCCTGCATGTTTTATTGTTATTCTGTCATTTTCATTTGAATAAATATTTGTTGCATGTTATCCTGTGTGAAATTTGCTGTATACATGAAGTTGAATGAAATGAATTATATATTTGTCGGCTTAATTATCGATTTGAACTCGAAAGGCCAGACACTGACATATTTCAACTTTCAGTAATATATGAGTGTGCTCTTCTTACCATAGTCCAACCTATCTGTGGACCAAGATCTCTGAAGTACATGGTAGCATTAGTCCCGACTGGTAGATTCTGTAAAATGTCTTCGTCTCTGAGTGATTTGTCCTCTATAAGAACAAAAGGAAGAAGAACAAAACATTTTTTATATTTTATGCACACAAATTCAACTTTATCTGAAAACATCTTTATCTGGAATGACCATATTGACAGAATTACCAATAATAATCACATTTAAATACATTATTACGAAGTACATTTAAGAAGTTGTGTGGCTTAAACTGAGGTTTCAGAGTGTCGGTTCAGATTTCCAGCACACATTCCCTCTACCTGGAAGCTCACAGGGGGCATGGCCACAGATAATATGTTGCTCTAATTGGATGACATTTTTAGAATACCATTAGGGGGAACTGGCCCAGATTGCTTTCAAACCAACGTCTCCACCCTGTTATTTTTAGTAACAAGATAGCCCTCATTTAATTAAAGCTCTACAATATCACAACTCACGGTAGGTCCTTTTTAAAATGTAGGTTTGATGATAGGAAATATGACTGTGACGGTAAAGATGAGGGGCGCTTTTTGAGGCTTTCATTCACCTCCATATGCAAAGCAAAGTTAATTTGTAAATGTTATAATAAAACAAAAATCGAAATAAGGCAAGGTCGAAATAAGGCGAAGTATAGTATGTCAATAAAAATTGCAAAAAACTACATAATATACTATGTCAAAAAATTTAAAAAACAAAGCATAGTATTTTATGTCGTAATAAGGCGTAGTATATAGTATGTTGATACAAATGACAAACAACATTATATACTATGTCGAAAAAATGCAAAAAATAAACATGGTATTTTATGTCGAAATAAGGCACGGTATAGTGTGTAGAAACCAGGCGTGGTGTAGTATGTCGTTAAATTATTGCATTAAAATAGAATGCTTTTTTCTATTTTAAAAAAATGTTTGACATACTATACTTTGTCGCTTTTGTTTTTTGTTTCGACAAACTATAACTTTTTTCACATTTTAATTAATCCATTTGACAAACTTTACTTTTAAAAAAATTTTTTTCCGACACAGTACTACGACTTTTACACATTAGCTGACACATTATACTATGACTTTTTTCATTATTATTAATTCAGGATATTTAAAATCATCAACATTCTACATTGTGATTTTTTCAAGAGAATGTAGTATATATTTTCTCAATGTTTTGGATATAATATAACAAGTATTCTTTTCACATTTTATGCTTTCATCATATTTCAGACATACTATACGATGACTTTTTTCCATATCGTTCGACATAATATATAATATAGTTCATGTTAAAGATAACATACTTTTAATTATTGCGGTTGATGAAGTTCAGATTGTGAACAGCATTAAAACAGTAAATAGCTATCACCCATTGTAATATTAAGAATGAAAAATGAAAACAACACAATATGGCTACTTACTGGGGTCAAGGCTCAGGGCTTGTCTTGCTGGATACCAGTGAGGATCTGAGAGGATCAAACACACACACTCACATACACAGATACACAGGATTAAACATAACTGGCATTGCACTCACAGACTTTTGGCCTCAAGCCCAACAATAATGGATCACAATGGAGTCACATTGAGCACTGCTGCTCTGATAGATTTTGTTTGCATCAGGTTCGGCAAATATTTGGTAACGTTTTTGACCAGACGCACAGTGAGCGTCAAACATTTTACCAATGTGGGCTTTAGAGGAGTAAAGAAGGAATAGCTTTTTAACAAAACATCTGTTTGGTGAAGTGGTTGGACATTATGCACTGTAAATATGTCAATCAATAGCTCGGCAAGCTAATCGATTGAATTCAACTAGTAGTTAACAGTTTTGTGCAATAAAATACACAAATAATGCAATAATACAAAATCAATTGAAATTAAACTCTTGGATAACAAGCATCTTTACAAATCTTACTGGGTTAATGAAATTGCACTATACTCTACACAAAAAATGGGAATTTCCCTGTCCAGGACTCAGCTAAAACATAAAAGCCAGTAAATAACACAAACAAATGATAGTTTAAAACCAAAAGCGGCATATGAACACTTACATGATTTGTGGAAGAGGCTTTTAATGTCTCCTATTGTTGAACAAGGCTCAACCTGAATGGAATAAAAACACAAAGTATGCTTGATGTGCGGCCATTTTTTTTATTACGCCAATGAGCTTATTTAAAGTTTCATCCCAAGAGAAGATAACACAAACATTATCACAGGCTGAATTGTGCGCAAAGTGTTAAATGTATGCCCAATTAAAAAGAAAATAGAATATAAATGGAATATTTAACATAGTGTAAGTAGTTTTAATAAAGAGTTGTTTATCCTACTTTACATCTACATGAGGGGGGAAAAAGAGAAAGAGCGAATACATGCCAATATGTTGTCATACCTTATCTAAAAAACAAAGATGCTCTTTGGTCTTGCCATTCAGGACCCTCACCTAAGAGAAACACAAGATGTACCACCTTTAAAATGCACAACAACAAGGTAGTAAGTTTCACACAAATTGTTGACAGATTTCCATTTTTTTCTTAGATTTATTTACTGCAACGAGATGTAACCCTAAAAGTCAACTCAATCGGTAATAACAATAAGTATCTTCATAAAAGATTGTTTTCAAACACCTTCTGCTGATTTATGTAGTTACGTTTTTCTTCTCATAAGCCACGTAGAACTTTTCTTCTTATACAAAGGATCTATATGTCAGCCTCTTTAAAACATTCATGTTATTGACACATATACTGCAATGAATATCAGCTTTGTACTTTGCAGCATAGGCAAGGCAAGGCAATTTATAAAGCACTTTCAAGGCAATTCAAAGTGCTTTACAAAAAATGAATGACATTAAGAAAATCCATGATTTGATATACCTTTGTATGAGTGAGTCAACCATAGAAATATCTATGAAAATACTACAATATTGCTTCTCATCAGGGGACCTATACTGCCAAGTGTCCAGTTTTCCTGATCAAGTACAAAATCTCAATCTGAATAATAAGGCCGGTGGAGTCTGATAGGGGAAAACGGCTGAGTGTTGTCCTGCTGCTCTCTTGCTCACATCTTTTTCCTCTTGATTAAACCATGTCAGTGGTGATGTACAGCATTTGCTAGGAGGATGGTGGGTGGCATCCCACAATTTGCTCTGAAAGCACTCCATACTGTGCTGCTCAGCAGAGCTGTCCTAGCTAAATTGGTTCCCTTATTGGACAGTGTAACAACCCACTAATGGATACCTCAAGATCTGCTGAGTGCACAGATGAGGTAAAGGGAGAGCTTTATACAATCTGCTGTGTGCATTGCAAAAAAAACACATGTTCGCAAGTCTTTTACTCTTGTTGCCATGCTAATTTACAGTAACCTATTCATTGATTCTTTCTTGATTTGTATCAGTAGCAACCTCCCCTTCATTTGATCAACTACATCTTCAAACAAGAAATTGACTTGCACTCTTTAAATAGAAATGACACTCACCTAGAGTATTGAACATTGTATCTAACCCTTTGCAGTGTGTTCATGCTTTGCAGGGTGTGAGCAGAGCACAAGCCATGCTGATGTTTCAGTAAAGGGTACCCTGGGAGACGGGTTTGTTTTGCTTTCCATCTGTTATACCTTTCCCAAATGCATTCTAGGAGCACATGTTGATGCATCTGCGTTTTCACAGAGAGACTAAGGATCTCATTAGGGTGGTGTGTTGTAGAACCGTGTGCACTCAGTTGTGCTGTGTCCTTGTAAATCAGATTATCAGACGCCCCTGTCCTCTCATGGGAACCGAAGGCTCTGCTGACAGCAAAGGTCATACAGAACATGTGCATGTGTGATTGAGAGGGATTTGTGTAGGTGAGGGGTAAAGTGGTTTTCAAATGAACATTTACTCTTTATATTCAAAGTGGTATTTTTTCAGACATTCAACATCAAAGGTTATCCAGTTTGTCCCTTCACGGTGTCTATATCCGTCTCTTAGCATTCATTTCTCTACTTAGTAAAAGCTGATGAACTTGAGACAGGACACTGAAAACAAAAGGAAAAATCCACCTCAGTTTACATTGACACAAAAAACTCTGACTTTATAAACTCTGTTGACTCTTTAAACTTCTTTGCAACATTATTAATGATTTCTCCAGTTCTGCTTGACCACTGCAACATACTTCTTAAAGTGAGTCTCTTGAGGCCTTGTCAAATAAACCAATTTAAAATTATTTGTCAAAGTGGACATGACAAGTTTCAGTTAATCAACATTTCTGGCACGTACCTTAATTACATACATTTATGCTTACCTCAAAAAAGGTGGTCCGACTCATGGCGGTGAAATATTAATATGTCCTCTGTGTACAGGTGGAAGCAAACGACCTCAAACATCAGAGAAGGCAAACACAACATGCACACTCATCACCCTCACACACATACAGAAGTAGTTCCTCTCCTTTCGAGGACAATCCCTGGACTGACCCCTTATTCCTCACAGCCTATACTTTCCTCCCTCTTTCTCTCTCTCTCTCTCTCGCTCTCTCTCTCTCTCTCACTCTCTCTCTCTCTCTCCCACTCTCTCGCCCTTCTCAGAGATGGTGCTGGGACACAGAATCACATGAGACACTCCTGAAGCCCTGCACCCCCCCCCATGTCTCTTTCCTTCCTCCTGTTGTTCCCTTTGTTACGTTTCCTAATAGTCTAGACTCTAGGGTAAAAGGGAATTAACAACATATAAAATAACCAGGAGAAAAAAAGAGAGAGGAAACTGATCTACCTAACCAAAAGACAATGTGATAAACGTAAACAATGCAAAAAGATACACTGGAGCACATCTCCAAAAACTAGCAACAACTATTAAATACGTCCCACAGGCTGCACTGGTCCCACATGCAGTTCAGAGGAGAACGAAGCGAGAGTGCTCCAGCCTTCCTCAGGCCTTTAGGCAGGCCCTGACTGGGGATTGAGAACACCTGAGGGAGAGGCAGCACCTGGAGGGAGAGAATCATGGGTAGAGGGAGAGAATCATGGGTGGAGAGGGAGAATCATGGGTGGAGAGGGAGAGAAACACACACAAACACACCACGGCACGTTAAACCCTGTGAGTTTTACTTAACGGTAGCTTTGTGATGCTTTAATAAATCTAAAATGGCTTTTAAACTTCCGAGACACGGTAGCTATCTGAATTATTACGCACATGTTGTACTTCCTTTATCTTTTCGTTATGTTTCATTGAAATTAGTGGATAATGAAACATTTTATTAACCTGTTAAGCCCTGAGCCTGTTTTTCAGGTCTCAGGTTCGATAATGACATTCCCAGAACAAATGACCATATCTTCCCTTCTAAAAGGGTTAAATTAATCATCTTTGTTCTCAAAGTAATGATAAACCTGTGAGTTGGATGTAGAAAAGTCAAAATCAATATAGATGTTTTTCAGCCAGTATTTATTACAACTGTGTACAGCTCAGAATTGGCAGTTGCTTTCTATCAAAAATAATCAAATCTAATCAAAAGTTAGAGTTCACATCACAGCCAGAGCATTTCAAAGGAGCCAGAGGGTCATTATTGACTTTTCTATCAGTTTGCGTCATCTTCTAACCTCTGAGGATGCCAGTTCAATGTAATATATTTCTGACTTCCTCTGATTCAGGGGTTCCAAACCTTTTCTTTAGGGGACGCCTTTCCTGTCTTTCATTAAACTGACGACGACTGACTAAGTGACATAATTAAAGATATTTCATTTTGTATTCAATAAAGAGAACAACTGATAAACCGTGTTATTAACCCGAATAGTGCAAAACTGCAGGATGTCTTCATTGTTTTTTATTTTTTAACAATCATACATAATAATGAATTCTTCTTTTTTGACAAATGAATGTTTTTGTCTTAGTGACATTGCTTTATTTTCTTTATTGGTTGTTTTAACTTCATACTTTTCTTATTCAGGCAAGGTCTGTGCAGAGGGAAGACTGTGAAAACAGTTCAGATACTGCAGATTCCCTCTGCATACAACAATGTGCACCTTTATGAATCAAAGTTATCTTCAAAGAAAGTCATAATAAAATATTAATTTAGTATGAGAATAAAAAAGAAAGACCCTACATTTCCACAAAATAAATCGGCTACCCTACCTTCAGTCAAAAGAACATTTTCTGAACCCATCTTTTATCTTAATAATCATAGTCTTACACACATTTAATGTATATTCTAAATGAATTATCTAAAATCGGTAGCTGAACTCAGTCCCTCCACTTTGTGAAAGTGGGGCCCCTGCAGCAGTTCTGCCACCTGGTTCCCATGTGAGTGTCTTGTGCCAGTGCTTGAAGGGCTACAAGAGACATGGACTAGAATACAATTAAGCCTGGAAGTTGGGATACCTGATGCATAAAGTCTGCATTGCGTTAAAATGTGTCATTTAAAATAATTAATGAAATAGTCAACATTTAGACTGTTCAACCTCTTTCTTTACACAGCAGTGTGCCTACTGCAAATTGCAATTAATACACTAATCTACAGTATAGCGACTATATATTAACCTCTTACGTCATGCAGAATGGGATGTCTTCATCAGTGACAACGTTATCAGCCTTGACGTCATCAGCCATGATGTCATGCGGAATGCGATGACATCATCGGTGACATCATAGAGCCTCTCCAGAAAGTTTGCAAATAGACCCTCTGTTCCTCCACAGAGTTTACGTTTTTTGACGATGCCAAGCAAACGCAGACAAGCCGCTTGCCCTGTGCGCAGACGCAGGAGACCTCAGAGTATTGCAAACTTTTTTAAATAAATTTTTTTTTTTTTTTGATTTTTTTTTTTTAAAATAAATGTGTGGAAAAGGGGGCAAAATGGCTGCTTTGGTCAAAAAGGTTGCAGACCCCTGCCATAGAGCCTCTCCTGAAAGTTTGCAATAGTCATAAAGACCATTAAAAATGTAGCTGCACAAGCATTTAAAAAGGCACAACCTTTTTAAAAGCTTGTACTACATTTCTGGAGAGGCTCTGTGATGTCACCGATGATGTCATCGCATTCTGCATGTCAGTTTTGTCTTCGTTACGTTACAAGATTGGAGCACTTGTGCTGCATTCATGTGGTGTCCCGTACTTCCTTCCTGAAAAAGAAAGACAAACAAGAAACATTCTAAATTATAAAATATGTATGGTCTATTTGCAAACTTTCTGGAGAGGCTCCGTGATGTCACAGATGATGTCATCGCATTCTGCATGACGTTGCCGATGATGTCATTACCGAGGATGTCATCACAGTATGCATCGGTGATGTCATAGAGCCTTTCCTCACTGAGCACATTACTGTATTACAGTACTGCACATTATTTGATTGGGCTCTCCAGTGTAAACAGTGTTTTTCCAGTAGGGGGAGATATTTACCTAGCACTGAGTATTACAGGTATGCAGCAGAATCAGCTATAAGATCTATAAGTCTCTCTTTGAATCTGAAACTGATTTTGTTTGTGTGTTTCTGTTTGATCATATTTCACATGCTGAGATGTCTAATCTAATGAGAGCGACTATTCTGACTCCCTATTGTTCTCCTCAATGTTAAGACGGAGGGAAATGGAATAAAAGAGAATATCTGGAGCAGGTGAAAGTGAGTTTGATCAGATTTAAACATCTCAAGGAAAAATGATTGATTGGAAAAGAACTTGCATTTTGGCTATGAACCAAATATGAGTTATTCATTGATTGTATCAATCAAGTGAATAATATCCCAAGAGTTAATAAAAGAAGATATTAATGCACGATGAACTACATTTTACGATTATTTAACGCCTGTAGTAGTTACTAATGTCTGTGAATGAATGTGACATGTGAATATTTTTACATTAATAAGTGTATTCATGAATTGTAAACATTGTTGTTTGTACTCTCTTGATACATACAGTAATGTGGGAAACCATAGATGTAGATAAATAGCAAAGATCTTCTGCTTATAGTTGTTGAACCAAGTGCAATACTACCAAGTCTCACAAATCTACATTTCAAGGCAAAAACAACCTTCCATTGACCTTTCTGAGGTAACAAACATGTTGTTCTAAACTTAAAGAAAGGACCTTAATCGAAATCCATTTGCAGGGAAATGTGCGGTCTGCCATGTAGTCATTCAACACAACTCAATGTCAGAGTGATTGATTTTTGTTCAGGCTGCAAAACATATTTCAGGCGAATATAATTGAAGTACCCAAATCCAACATCATCTAATTCAAACCAAATCAATTCCTTATTGACAAAAAAACTGCGTCCTAGAACAGAAAAATGAAGATCTGAACCAATCTAACTGGTAATAACAATAATAATAATACTAATAAGCACTTTCTATGCATTTATTTGATAGAATAGGACTCCAATACATTTCAAAATAAAAAGCTACTCTCTGATATTGCACATAATTTTGGGTTGGCCTCATCGGGATGAGTGTGCCGTGAGTAAACAATAAAGGCTGCATCTATAATGAGTGTTGCTAACAACAGTGAAGTCTGCATCACAACAAAGATGCCACATTAACTTCAGATATGAAGCTCTAAGGAGGGATGTCATTGTTGCTTTCTGTTGCCTTGTCAGTGCTTCAGGGAAAACATATTACCACTGCTGCAGAAGAGATCCCGAGTAATCAGTCAACGTATTATGATGTGACAGTACAGCATCACACATCGTTGTTTTCATTAGTTTTGCTCACGTAATCTCATCTTTATTGTCCACACAGATGGTGAAGCAGTCAGTTGCTGCCATTACACAAGTTTAACTGCAGCCCCCAGACATTAGAAAGCAGCCCCCAAATCACTGACATTTTAAAATCTTACACGAAAGTCCATCCTAATGCTTTGATTTCTTAAAATCATGTTGTTCTGTCTGTGATTTATGTGTGGTGTTGTGTTTTTGCCCTGCTTGTGATACACATCCTGATTGTTGCCTTACATTGAAGCATATTCTGCTTGTAGGGTTTTGTTGGCATTAGTCTATTTTCTTCAGTTTGAGAAATGTCTCTCAGCTTCAATCTCCCCTATATTTATTATTGAGGTCTTCACTTATTGATGTGAAAGTGGTACACATCATGAGCTTGTAGATTTGGCGGATACTGAAAGATCTAGGACAAAGTAACTGTCAGAGGTTTGGCTCTAGCTAACTCAGAATCATCACTTTTGAATTTTGATGGAAATGTCACATTAAAAGTTTCAATTTTGTATTTCCTTTTTTGAAGAACTCAGTACACAACTTGATAAAACAGTTAGCATGATCTTCTCCAGAATAGACAATAAATACTCCCAAACACGTCATCATTCTTTATCAGATTATTCATCATTTATTTGGATACCAGTTCACGTTTCTTTAAGTTTATACATTTGTATCTATCATTTTTCTTATTCTTACAACTTAGCGTACATTTTTAATTTACAGCAAATACATAAAGGAAATGACGAACTTGTGAAATAAAG